AGGTAGCTGAAAAGGTAGAACAAGCTTAAATTAGCAGAAGAAAGCAGAACAAACACATGCGTGCTGAAAGAAGCATAAATGAGCACAAAAAGTGAAAAATATCTGAAAATAGCTAAAAACTGCTAAAAAGCTAGCTGAAAAAGTAAAACAAGCTTAATGGTTGTAAAGAGATCTGAAGATTTGAAGGATGTAAAATGAGCTCAATTCATTGAGCAGTGAGAAAAGAAGTGTCAGAAATGGCAAAATATTTCATAGAGCTAAAGTTGCACCAATACCAAAAGTCAAAGCAGGATTGTCCTGAAAGAGCTGAACATTTTGATTTATGGTTTGTTGAAATAGATGAAAACTGCACAGAAGAAACATGGATCACAATAGTGTGAATACTTCATAAACATTCACACTATTGAGTAACTGTTTCTAAATGTAAACCACCATTTTACTGCCTGGTTATTTAGTAATCTTTCATCAACTTTCTTCCTAATCTGCGTTCTTTGTGCTAACACTCACCTTTTCTCTGAAGAACAGAGCCGTGGCAGCGATGCAGTAAACCATCAGGAACGCATCCAGAAAGTAGCAGATGACCGGGTCTGTGAAGAAAACCTCTGCAGGTCACAGAGAGGAGAGAATCGTTAAAAACGCTTGAGTTCATGTCTCTGGTGAACCTCTGAACTACATTCTGAGACTTCAGAAGGATGATACTGGCCTGCACAAAATGCATCAAATAAAACACATTTAAATTGATCTAATTAATTATTGCGTAAACAAAACAATGCAGTGATCTCATAAACTCATGAAGTGGAAAAATGTTCTGGTCACTGAAACGTGAAAGATTTTATTATAAACCAAAGATGTCAGAACTTCTGAACTAAAGAGGAGTCAGACCATCCAGCCTGCTGTCAGCACGCAGTTCCAAAGCCTGCCTCTCTAATGGTATGGGGGTACATCAGTACCACTAGAATTGGCAGCTTACACATCTGGAAAGGCGCCGTCAATGCAGAAACGTGTAGACAGATGTTAGATCAAGGTGTTCCCGTTCGTTAAAGGAGAGCCAGGATTGTTGAACAGTTCGAGCCGCTCATAAGACAAAGATAATAAATTATAAATTACTTTATTATGACAAATGGTACAATTTCTTAGTTTCTATAGGTTATTTGTTGTGGCTTTTGGGGATTTGCTAATCATTGCATTCTGTTTTTCATTTACATTTTGCACAAAGTACCAACTTTACCAGAATTGGGGTTACATAAAGTTGCAAGTAAAAGTACAAATCATCTTCTTTGTACAGAAACAACTTCCCTGGAAGTCCTCTCTGGTTACTGCTCGTCTTCACTGGAGAGACGTTTGGGCTCTGACTGAGTCTAAACTGAAATTAGAGCATCTTTCTGTGCCGAGCTTCCTCCATCGTGCTTCGCTGTCGTCTGCAGGAAGCGCCACACGATGTTCTTCAGCCCTCTGACGAACAAACCTTCTAAAATGTCTCCAATCACATGCTGACCTTTCCTCACTTTGCTTGTTGTTGCACAGCAGCTCTGCATGAAGTCCAGTCCTGCTCATAAAACGTATACAAAAAGTCATCTGTGAATTCAGGATGACCTCATGTGTTTCACTGTAATCGTGCATTTAAATATTTTACACGTGGAAACAAGTGAGAGAGGACGATAATTAATGTGCAATAAATGTGTGTTTGGGAGTGAGTCTGACGAAAAAGCAACAACGAGTAAACAGGAAATAAACACTTCACATCTGCAGCTGTAAACGTTTGGTCTTCCTGTCACCGCCTGCTGCTCAGAGGTTTTAGTGAGGCTCGTTTATCTCGCTGTGCGGTCGGAGCAGAGGCCTCGTGATGAGAACGAAGCTGGCCGTGGTGACTCACGAAGGCTTCGACGTCTTCTTCTTGACGATCTCAACTTGCTTCAGGCTGCAACTGTTCCTGCAGCCCCGGGTTATTTTTAAACTTCTTAAAAACAAGAACTGTGCAATAGCAGCTGAACCAACGAGTGGGCAAACTTTGACTATTTTCAGAAACTCTCAAAGTGCTAATTGTAGCAACTTTGAACGTGCATCTATTTATTGCAAACGTACGTTATTACCAATCATCTTAGAAGTATATTTGATTTGTTTGTTGTGTGAATGTTTATGAAGCATTCACACTGTTGTGATCCTTTTACCTCCTGTACATTTTTCAGCACGAGTGTCCTCCTGCAGTTTTCAAGCTATTTCAACAATTCATGAATCAAAACGTTCAGCTCATTTAGAAAGGTGCTTTGACTTTTGGTATTGGTGCAACTTTAGCTTTTTGAAATATTTGACCTTTTCTGCCATTTTGTTTACTCTTACAAAATAAATTGCGTTCATTTTACATCCTTTAAATCTTTAGATGTGTTTACAGCCTTTTATTGCCCCTTTCACATTTTGTTCTGCTTCAGCTTTTTTCAGCTTCCTTGTGCAAATTTTAACTTTTTTCAGCTACTTTCAGCTGTTTATTCAGCTGTTTTCTGCTCTTTTCAGATTTGTTCTGCTAACTACAACATTTTTTGTGCTCCTTTCAGCTCTTTTCTGCACGTTTAAGCTTTTTCTACTATTTCAGCTACTCTTTAGCTGCTTTTATGCTAATTACTGTAAGCTTTTTCAGCTAATGCCAGATTTTTTGCACTTTTAAACTTTTTCCTGCATAATTCAGCAAAAAATGTTCTCTCTCCAATTCCTTCTTGTAATTTCATCTCATTTTTTTGTTTTTTCTACTCTTCAGCTGTTTTATGCTAATTTCAGCTTTTTTCAGACAATTTCCACTCTTTTGTGCTCATTTCTGCTTCTTTCAAACATTCTTTCTGTTTCTTCTGCTAATTTAAGTTTGTTCTACCTTTTCAGCTACCTAATTTTTTTTTTTTGCTTATTTCAGCTGCATTCAGATAAATTCAAGTTTTTCTGTAATTTCTACTACTTTCAACCTAATTAACGTCTTTATGCTAAGTTTAGCTTGTTATGCTCCTATAGGTTCAGCTTTTTCTGCTATTTCAGCTAATTTTTTAGCTGTATTTATTTAGCTTTTGCAGCTAATTCAACATTTGTGTGTGTGTGTGTGTGGGGGGGGGGGGGGGGGGGGGTTTTGTGAAATGGCCGCACTTTATCTCCTTCCACCTCCTTCTGGTAGATTAAGCTTATTTCTGTTTTTTCAGCTACGTGTCAGCTAATTTAATTTTTTTGTGCAAATTTTTGCTTTTTAAGCTAATTTCCTAATTTTTATGCTAATTTCTGCTTATTTAAATCTAATCCAGCAAATATGTGTTATTTCTGGGGGTTTTTCTGCTTTTCCTTGTTCTTCCATTTCAGCTACATTTCAGCATGTTTTTAGCTAATTTCAGCTGTTTTTCAGCAATAAGCATTCACACTGCATTTTTGCAGGAAATGCCATTTCTCTAGTTGTTTTAAGTTTCCATCAGATTTTGTTTTGAGACCCACAGAGGTCCTCCTGACCATAACTATGGAGACTGTTGGTTTGATGGGACCTGGAGATTATTATGAACCATCTTTTAAAACAACTCATATTTTAGTTGAAACTGTTAGTTGACTTTGTCAGTCTAGGGTTACTTCTGTTTAACGTCTTTGGCTTTTTATGTCTCGACACCAAAGACAAAGCAGAGCACCAGTGTTGTGGCCTGTGTTTCTGTTAGCAAACCATGCAACGAATCATTGAACTAATTTGAACTGAACTCCCAGAAACTAATCATTCCAGGTACATCTGAAGCTGATTAACGTTTGGCCGTCGTAGCTAATGGGCCTCAACCTACACAATGGCTTCAACTCAGCTTATTTTAAAGATGTGGAACTAAACATAGGTGTGGTAGCAGCTGAGAGTCATCCACAGCACGTAGCTTGAGCACTGACTGATCGGGTGAAATCGTTCAATGTTGCATGACATCATGTCATTTTCAAGATTCGACCAACACGGAAACAACTTTCTCAACACAAGAAGGTCTTGAACAGCGAGCGACATGCATCACTTCACCGAAAGCGAGGCCTTTATTTAAAAAACAAACAAACAAGGACACAAATAAACAAATGTTTTGTGATATGATATAAATCATGGCACAGAAATGACCTCCATTTTGTTTGAAAAATCACATAATCTAATTTATTATCTAAAAAAATGTCTGTCAAGGTCATCAAATCTTTTTACAATAAATTGTGATAATTTTCAAACCATGTACATTTTTTCTTTTATATTTAGTTTCTTTATTTTTTTCAGAAAGCTTTTGAGGCTAATTAATTTGGATTATTTACATACAGTGTTGTGAATATGAAACCATAGGCACAGATTATGAAAACTAATCTGTCACATCACATTTATGTTTTCGCTGCAGATCATTTACTCAAATGGGATTTCTTTGATTATTGCTTTATTGCCAAATGCTTCAACTGCTTGTATTACACTGTATTGTTTGTGAATCATTTTGATCAACAGACATCAGAAATATGTAGGACAGACATTTGGAACTATGCCTTTAAAAATCTAACCAGGTTTGTCATCTCACGCAGCCAAATGTAACACACGCACAACAAAAATAATCATCTCATAGCCACTAAAAACACAGTTTGTTTAAGAATGCATGAAAAATATGTTTTCCTTGCATTTGAGTTAATTTGTTAAATGCAGAAAAAACTTCTAATGATGTTCCCAGATGTTGCAGAGTGTCAGGAGGCAAATCTATTCACGTTCTCTTTTATTCCTTTAATCATCATACTGTCATAAATAAATAAATATATTTAAATAAAGAGTGTGTTGGAAGTTTTTCATTATTATTTCTCAATAAATAATAGAGAAAGTGGGACAATTATTAAATGTTTTTACATAAAAAATATTTTTTTATCCAATTAAACCAACCAAAATTTTAAATAAAATTAAAAAAGGCATTTTATGTTTAATGCAGTGAAGAAATGCTGGTTGAAAAAAATTTTTTTTTAAATTTATTCTTAAAGAAAGTATATATTATTTGACAGATTTTAATTTGGGGTCATTGAAGGAAAATTAAATATAGTCCTTGATTGTTTACATTTTGTTTTCCAATGTTCAAGACAGAAAAATGACTTTTAGAACATGAATAAAAGTTTGTAAAGCTTCGTTATACCAACAAAGACGATGGTTACTCTTTCCTTTCTTATGTAAAGACAATTTTCAAATACAAATTTCCCAACTCTTCCTTGTTCTCTTGATAGTTTATTTATTTAAATTTAATTTAACTGAAAACTGACACTAAAACTTTGAACTTATAAATTCTGGACTGAAAACATTTATATTAAAGTGATTTATTTTATGACATCAACATAACCCAGTTTTTGTTTATTTTCCGTGGTAAATTTAACAGAAGTGCCTCTTTGCATAAATTATTGTGAACACTGTGGGACTCCTTATTCACAGTCACCAAAACTGAAAGTAGTTTTTTTTTACCTCAACCAAATCAACTTGAAAATCCTTATTAACTGTGCTCACCTGTACAGGAAACAGGATCCAGCAGCACAAACAGAACCAACGCAGCCGTCCTCACCGAGTCCATGTCTCTGTCCTCACAACCTTACAACTCTCACACTCGTTTCTCATCAGAGGAAGTGGACGGACTGAGACTGGGTGCTGTGGTTTCAGAACACAACCTTCAACACCCACTGACTGATTTCCTCACAACAGTCTGATGGTCTCTGACACCCACCCCCCCATCAAACACACTGAACTACAATGTCGTGATGAAATAACCAGTTTAGAGACTGAGGATGTTCTCTTAACAAACACATGAGCATTTGATTTTGAATATCAAATACTTTTATATGACCAAAATGAAGATATCTTCTGTTTGGCTTTCTAGTTTTTTGAATGAATGAATGAACTTTATTTAAAAAGGGACAATGCACAACTCAAACATAATTGTCACCATTTGATGCGCTGTACCAGATTTTAGCAAAAGCTAATTCGCATCTGCATTTTTAATTTTATTTTAAAACAGCCACAAGAGAAACCGTAAACTAAAACGGGTGCATGATGGGACTTCAGGTTTCATACGTTCAGTGCAAATTTCAAAACAAAATAAAAATAGATCATTACAAAGCTGCTTTTTTTTCCTTCTGAATACTTGCATGTTATTTTACTGCAGATGAACAATGGTGTCCGGAAAACGAGGCGTCTCTTTTGTAGACGGACGTTCGGTCTGAACGTTTTACTCCGAGGCCTCAGAAGAGTTTCCATGAACTTCACCTGACTCCACTCGTTTCCACTCGACTCACAGATCACAGCGATTGCGCAACTTCAGAGAGACTTGACAGTTTCGGTAGGATGCAGAGGTCTCATGTTTGTTACACCCCCCCCCCCCCC